ACCCCCGCCCCTCCGAGCGCAGAAAGTGTGTGTGGGGGGGGAGCGCCGTGTTCCCTTCTTGCCCTCTCGCCCGCCTTCTTTCCCTTTTTCTTCAGCGCCCAAGCGCTCAGGGAAGCTCCCCACGTCTCTCCCCCCCCCGCCCCGCCAAATGAAACAATTAAGCAAGTTGTAACACTCACTAAACACAAGTGAAACAATGAAACATTTTTTTAAACTAACAAGAAGTGAAACAATTACACAATTTTTAACAATCACCAAACACAAGTGAAACAAGAAAACCTTTTATAATAATAACAACTAGCAACAAGTGAAACAGTTAAGCAATTCTTTTAAAAAATCACCAAACACAAGTGAAACAAGGAAACCTTTTCTTAAATCACTATAAATAAGCCACAGCGAAATCGCCAATGGCAGAAGAAGAAACCAGATCACCCTTACTATGAAGGCAACAATCCATAAGTGTCGGAACAGTTTTGAGAGACCCTTTTGAAGAGGGAAATGTTCCCAAAAGCAGCAGCCAGGGACCGTATTTGTTCTGGTAACAGGATTTGGCCTTTCTGGGCTGAAATCAAACTGAGAGAGGCCTGAAATTAGAGATGTAACTACGGAAACGGTTAGACTCAAGAGTGTCCTCGTTTAGGCCTTAGCACCCCATCACTTACACCCATGGGGAGACGATATCAATGTCTCCCAGTATGAAACTGGACTAAACTGGGGGAAGTCATCCATTCCCTTTCTGGGGCCTCTTTACATTGGGAGGGGAGTATCAGAGACCCCGAAAGGTGTTCCAAAATGGAGGCAGGGCCACAGAAAAAGCCACCCTGAACAACCCCTTCTTTTCCTCCACCATGATGGACATAGTTCAATGTCCGTCCAAGCTGTGGACGTCTCGGATGATGCTTTCCAGACTTCAAGGCTCCAACGCCCAATCTACGCTCTGCCCCCCTCCCTCCCTCCCCCGTTCTTTCAACACTGGCCCTGGCCAACATCTGGCCTGAGGAGGGGCTTTGGTGGGTGCAAAACCTCAGGAGGGGGGCATTTTGGTTGTTGGTGGAAAAGGAGAAAAAGCCACATCAACCTCCCAATTGATTGCTGGGCCATTGCCTCTTCTCCACTCTCTCTCTCTCTCTCTCTCTCTCTCTCTCTCTCTCTCACACACACACACACACACACACAAACACACACACACACAACCACACAAACTAACACACACACACA